TATATATATATATATATATATATATATATATATATATATATATATATATATATATATCCTTCGACTTCCTAAAACGAACAATTTATATACACTATTAATAATCACAGAGAAGACCTCAGTTTCCCTCAGTTTCATATTGCCGAGAGTACTAATTGGTTATTTGTCGACATTACGCACCTTGTAAACAAAGTTATTTCCTTTTCTTTTCTACTAGTTTATCGAGAAAAATAAACATGCCTAGATATATATGGCCTTCGACTTCCTAAAACGAAAAGGTCGAATAAAAGTTAAGGTTTAGTACCAACAAATGAATCATTTAACATCATGTTCCATCTAAATTGATACATTTATTTCAATAATTGCAAGTAAATTTTACATATATAAAAATAGCCAGGAAAATCTTGTAACTAAAATTATGAAAAAATGGATTTGAGCCATATTTTTTGACGACTTTATACCAGTCGACTTGTCCGAACTTTCGATGATCAAGCATTTCGTTTCATGCAAGGTCACAAAGAGTAGCATATATTCTCTGAATCTTGCATATACCATGCACAAATCATACCTATATTTTTTTGCATAATTTAATTACTAACTTACAGTGAAACATTGAAATCTAATCACATCCCACGTAGAAAAATGTATCAATAAACATATTCCCAATTGCGACGCATTTCGACAAACAACGAGTAATCGATCGGGGTTTCAGCTGATGCAAGTAGTTTTATTCGAATATCAATCATGTAAGTAACAAATAGTATTGCAATAAAATTATTACTATCTAAGGCAAAAACACGAGCTAGTTCTTGAAAACATCTATTAATAGACATTTACGTACCTTGTGAACGAAGTTATTTTCTTTCTTTTTTCTACTATTCATCAAGAAAAATAAACATAGCTAGATAAATATCGCATTCGACTTCCTATAATGAACAATATGTGTACATTATCTCCAGCATGGCTTTAATTAATCACTAATTAACATCATGCTCCATCCTCTTGTAAATTGCTACATTTTTTTCCTCAAAGCTCCTTGCATGAAAATCGGGAATTTACTTCATTTAAACTTCAAATTTCAATTAAATCTAACAGTATGATACACTATGAGTTCCAATATAGTATGCTGAAGTCTAATCGTAAGGTGAAAACGTAAAAACCTAATCTCGAGAGATATATTAGTTTATCAAATTTATCAAAATTTCACTATTCACCTAATTAAGGTGAAACGTTGAAATCTAATCTCCTCCGTAGAAAAATGTATGCAATGTCCGTATCAATAAATTCTCGATGGCGAAGCACTACGACACGTAACGAATAATCGATCCGGGTTTCAGCTGATGGAAGTAGTTATATTCGAATATCAATCATGTAACAAATAAGTATTGCAGTAAAATTATCACTACCTACAGCAAAAACACAAGCTAGAAAAAAAACTAACAATGGAACCTCAAATTAGGGAGATAAATTGCAGAAGAGCTTACAATGCCCAAAGGTACAACCTGTTGCAGCGCGATGTACAAACATCAAGCAGCATTGATCCTCCCCAAGATTTTTACGAGCAAGAAACTGATTCTTCATTGGTCGTGGGTTTTGCACCGGAATTTTTTTTTCAAGTTGATTAACTGATACTTCGTTGATGATGGGTTTTTGCACCAGAGGCGGTTTCTTTTAAAAAAACCTTCACACCCATAGAAATTATAATAGCCATTTTTTGGTTTATAGAACAATTAAAAAAATATATAAAAAATTTAGCAGAATCTTAAGTTACAAATACAGGAGAGTTCTTGCCGGAGAGAACATAACAAAATCTTTTACCTGACAAATAATACTGCCATGATAAATCACAGTGACTGGCCAGCATGAAAAGCTTCTAAACCAGCATCGGTTCCAATCCAAGTGAGCCCCGTTCCTTTCGATATTCCTCTCGCTTTCATCAACTCCCTCAATTGGCTCACACTATCCCATTTCCCAGCATCAGCTAACGCGTTCGACAAAGCAACATACGCTCCAGGCCTACTCTCTCCACTCACTTTGAAAAGCTCGTTCGCTGCTATTTTCGCGAGCTCCACATCGCCATGGAGTCTGCAAGAACTCAGCAAAGCCGCCCAAACGTCGGAATTAGGCCTTTCGGACATTTGCATCACGAATTGAAGCGCTTGGTTCAAACTCCCCGCACGCCCTAATAGATCTACCATGCATGCGTAGTGCTCCATTCTTGGCTTCATCGAGTAAACCCGATCCATGCACTCGAATATCTTCCTCCCTTTGGCAACTAATCCTGCATGGGCACATGCAGAGAGTGCACCGAGAAAAGTAACGTAATTTGGTTTAGTGTGACGTTCGCTTATCATTCTATCGAAGAGTTCGAGCGATTCGTTTGGACACCCGTTTTTCCCGTATCCATCAATCATTGAAGTCCACGAATAGACGTTCTTTCTCGGCATGGAATCAAAAATGGATCTTGCATCATCGGTTCTCCCACATTTGGAGTACATGTCTATCAGAGCACTGCCAATCTTTATGTCTGTGAAAAGCTCGGTTTTCATTAACTGCCCTTGGATCTGCTGGCCGATTTCGAACGCTGACAAAAGAGAACAAGCACCGATAATACTTGCAAAAGTAGATATCGTAGGCCTGAAATTTAGGCTCTGCATATCGATGAATATATGTATCGCCTTCTTAGCCGTCTCGACTGATTTACTGTATCCTTCGATCATGGCATTGTAAACCACCACATCCTTCTCGACAGTCTTGTGAAATACATCCTCGGCATCTTCCAAACGGCCTTGGTTCATGTACCCTGTGATCATCGATGTCGAACAAATCACGTTCTGGTCCAACATTAAATCGAACACTCTTCTTGCGTACTCAACCCTCCCACTCTTCACATACGAGTCAACCAATGCGGTGTAAAGCACATCATCACCTTCAACATTGGATTTCAATATCTGGGCATGAACCTCACGCCCCGTAAAAGGTAAACGTGACCCTGCATTTCCGCTAGTCGAACCCTTCAAAATCATCGAAAATGTGTATCCGTCGGGCTTTTCATTCGAGAGGCACAGTTCTCGAACCAAATCAAAAGATTTATCGACAAACCCGTGTTTTGTATAGCCCGATATCATGTAATTGTAGGCCGATAAAGTTCGGCGAGGCAATTCATCAAACACCTGACGCGCGTCTGATAAACAGGAGGACTTGACGTACATGATGAGGAGTTTGATGGAGATATTGACATTGGGTTTGATACCAGCTTTGAGTATGAGGGGATGGATCTTTCGGCCGTGTGAGGGATGATCTGAGTTTATGTAATTCTGAAGAGCTGATGCCACAGAAAACTCAGTTACAGAGCTAACCTCTGTAAGCGGGAAATTCGTATTGGGTTGGTCTAGAACTCTGATTTTGCTTAATATTCCATATCTCATCGTCTTCTTCCCATTTGGTATCAAAGAATCATAGTTTCAACTGTAATTTCAAGAACTCAACGAGTGAATGAATTTTTTTCCTTTTTTCTTTTTTTTTTTTCTTCCTTCCTTCTTCTGGGCTCTCTCACATTAATTCGAGAAAGGGCTTATCATGGGCTGCAATGAATCCAATAGCAAAGAACATTGGGCTAAGACCTAATACGGACTTGGCCCAATAAATAAAATTAAAGATCGAATCGAAATTAGTATTTTATTTTTAAATTGCAATTATTTTTCGCGAAATGAAAAAAATATGTATACTACTCAGGGGTGGAAATTGATACCAATTTTTTTTGTTTTTGCCGATGTTGATCTAACATTTTCTGATTTTAGAATAATATCTTTCAATCCGAATTCTGAAATTCCGAGTTCCGATTTTTCGAAATTTCTTGGATCCAAATTGGAGTAAGTATGAGATTTCGATTTCCGATCCGATTTTCAATTTCAAAAAAATCCAAAAATTTCAATTTTTACCCAATATTACAGTTAGAATATCAATATTATTATGTATTTTATATTTTCGGTGACCAAAAAATAAAAATTTCTGAATTTTGCTGATTTCTTCTATTCGAAAATTTTCTGATTTTGGAACAAATTCTTTCAAACCAATTTCTTGTTTGAATGAAACGGAACTAATTTTTCACTTCCAAAACAAGAAATGACTAATTACTATTAGATTGGTCCGAATTACACGCCTAATAGGCTAATACTACTCCAACCATGTGCTTTAATTAACAAGATTACCTAGAAATTGGGAAGGGTCACAATTATTAAAATCACAATTATTCTCAAAGTTACATTCATAAACTAAAACTAGATTAGTCGCAACGGGAAAGCTTTCAATTTTTAATTGACATCAATTTTCAATTTTCAAAAAATCCCCCCTCATTAATAAGTAAATTTGACTCCGTGAGAGTGAACAAAGACAATACGTAGTCGAGGGATTGTTTTAATTACCCAAATATTATGATTTTTTTCATAATTTAGCTTTACCTTAGGGTGTGATTGTAATTTACCCTAATTTAAAGCAATTTTTCAATATTTTTCCGAAAAGGTTTTTTTATTTATTTATATATTTTATAGTTAATTAAATAATTTTGAGATCATGTAATTAGGTAGATCAACATTTAAGGCACGCTGATAAACTATTCACTCGCTTGTCTTGTTCCTTTCATTTAGTCTTCTTACATCAGACAAAAAAAAACACACACACACACACACACACGCAATTGTGTGGTGTTTTTGTGTGTGTGAAGAAGGGACAGAGAATACATTTCTTTTTTAAATGGATCAGATAGTTACATTAGAGCCTAAATTGGTTGTTACAATCAAGAACTCTTCTCCTTTTTTTCACCTTTTTGGTTGTTATTATTTCCATGGTTGTTAATCTCTTACCATTTACGCTTCGATTCAACAATCCGTTTCAAGTTTTCAACTTTCGATCTTTTACTATTCATAACTTGTCTTAAACATAAATTTTAGCATCTTATTTCGACAAAAAACAAATAAATAGGTTTTTTTATTTATTTATATATTTTATAGTCATAATTAGGAATTTTTCGGAAATCTTCATTTTCGGAAATTTTTCGGAAATTTTCGGAATTTTCCCGAAAAAAAAAAAAAAAGAGGAAAATTTGATCACCGACACAGTAGCCAAACTGCAGAAAGAAACATCAAATAACCAAAACACACAACAGACTCACCAAAGCACACAACAAAGCACACAACAGACTCACAAACACATAATTCCCAGCAACATGATTCCGAGCAACCACATAATTCTGAGCAACATAAAACCCAAGAACAGTTCGCATAATTCCGAGCAACAATAATTCCGAGCAACACAGGCTCATCAAATCAACATAAAACAAACAAACACATAATTCCGAGAAAAAACCCAAAAATAATTCGCAATAATCAAACACATACAAGCTTTTCAGCATAAACAAACAAAGATTTAAAAAAAAAAAAAGAAAATTACCTTGAGAGGAGGGCTGTCGGCGACGGCAACGGATAGGCAGCAGGCGGCGGGATGACGGCGGAGGGATGATCGGCAGCAGGCGGCGGAGAGCAGCGGCGGAGAGATGGGCTGACGGTGGAGAGCAGCGGCGGAGAGATGGGCGGAGGAGAGCAGCGGCGGACGGCGGAGAGGAGCGGCAGCGGCAGACTGCGGCGGCGGAGACGGAGGGGGAGGACCCGGCGGAGGGGGGGCGCCGGCGAAGGGGAAGATTGAAAGAGAGAGAAACAAATCGGCGGAGGGGAAGAAAATCGGAGAAATACAAAGAGGTGCAGAGTTTTCGAGACTTTGATGAGACCTTCCCCTCTATTTTGTTGTTTTTTTTTTTTTTTTAATACATATAATATTGCAATTCAAAATCTCCTAATAAAACATATATTTTGTTATTTGCAATTTAAGTTATTTACCATTCCTTTAATATTTTATATAATCTAAATTATTCCAAAATTCTTAATGTAACAATATATATATATATATATATATATATATATATATATATATATATATATATATGCATTATTACAATTATTTTCTAAATTTACAACTATGTGGGTATTTTTTTTTATATTTTAAAAATTCAAAATCTGCTAATGAAATACACATTTTGTCACTTGCAACTTTAATATGCTTACCACTTCTTCAATATTTTCACCAATTTTATATCTAAATATTTCCTAAATTAGCCCAAAATTTGTAAAATAATCCCATAAAATTTGAAAATATTACATATTTTTATTATTTAATGTGTATAGTATTAAAAAAAACGGGGGCGCTGCCCCCGAACCCCCGTAAACTTGTACATTTTTTACTATATTTAATTCCGAACACCCTTGACAAAAATCCTGGATTCGCCACTGTCCACAACCCACCCTTGTCAAAAAGTCCAAAGAAACCATGGCCTCTGAAAAACACCCGCAGTGGTTTTGTGCACCCTTGTCAAAAAGTCCGAAGAAACCATGCCCCCGGAAAACCAAAGTCTAGTTCAGGATTGGGGATTTTAATATTATTAAGTTCAATTAACTTTCAATTGGAACTTCTAAATTAAAACTGAGGAGGTGGTGAGGGTGGCGCCGGAGAAGATAGTTGTAAGACGAAGTGAGAAATGCCTAAAATTACGAATATAGTTTGTCTGCCATGAAGTGTGGTTTGGGTTTTTCAAGAAATTACGAATATTACAATGGGGTCCCTAAAATTTAAATTATTTACATTTAAAAGTTGAATTATTAATGAAATGGATAGAAGGGTATTTATGTATTTTCCTTTCAAAAATCCCATCATCATTCGCACAAAGCGAGAGTGAAACACACAACTCGAACTAGGGAGGAAAGTGCCTTTAACTAATGTTCATAGGGGGGTTTTAGTATTTTTTTGTAACACATGGGGTTTTTGAGCCATTCGAGATTTCAGAGGGGTACTATTTGCAAAAAACTCTTTTTTTATTATTTGATTTGCTTAAGTTTTTCGTATCCTCAGTTGATTATCAAATATTTGCATGCATGTAATGAGTTGATCACTAAGACCTTAATCCTAAGACCACTCTTTAAGTTTTGTCCGAATAAATCACACACTTCGAAACTCGAACATGTTCATGCACATGATAAATATGTGTCAGCGTCACTGGAGACCTTATTGGTCATAAAATGTCATCAATATAGTAGTATAATTATTTGATTTCTTTCTACTATGACTTATGGACATTTTATTCAACTAGTAAGTGACACGTGCGTTGCATGTGGTTTATGATTTTTGTTAATTATTTATATATTTATTAATAATTTTCTTTATTAAAATTAATTTATATTATAAACAAATATTTAATAAATTAGTGATATGATTTAATATTATGTTTATGTAGATTTCCGATCATATTGATTTTGGTTGATTTTAATGTAGCACAGTGCATAACAAAACCTTCATATTCATTACTTTAAACTCCTTAATTAAAAAACAAAATTGTGCATTATAAGTGATTATTTTTATTATTTTAAGGGGTCAAATAGACTAAAATATATAAATAAAAATAAAAACTAATGAAAAAAAAATTATTTTTTTTTCTTCTGGAAGGGCGGCTCATCCCCTTGTGGTACCTTAGTTACGCCCCTGCTTTCATCTTGGTGCCTTAGTGACACCCCTACTTTCATCTACCCTAATAAAAGCTTACTTTTAAATTTCATCTTTTAATCTAATATATAAATCAATGAGGGCAAATTTCACTTTCTCACTTCGTCATCTGATCTCAAATCACTTTATCCCCCGTACCTAGGGGTGCATGTTGGAACGGATTTTCCAATTTCAGCCGGTTCCGATCCGAAAAGTTCCGGTTTTGGAACAACTTTTTTCATTCCGACTTTCGAATTCCGATTTCCGAAATTTTCCGATTTTTTGGATTGGAATTGGAATTATATAAAATAAATTTGGAATTTCCGATTTCCGATCTGATTTAATTCCGAAATTAATTCCGAAAAAATCCATTTTTTTTCCGAAAAATACACCTATAAATAGTATATATTATATAATACTTATTTTCTGAAAAAATACGCCTATAAGTTTTGTTTTAGGATTTTGACATAATGATTTGTTGTTAGAAATTTTATTGGATATTATGCGGTGTTTATTTTTATTTATTTTTTTGAACTGAAATTTAGTAGTTATTAGTTTTACTTTTATCGACGTGGATGTTCTTATTTTCGAAAAATTATGAACATTTTCGAAAATTTTGGCTACGTTTTGAAATTTTAAAGCTTATGTGATTTCCGATTTTTTTTCCAAAATTCCCAAATTTTCGGGCCTTTTGGAATTGGAATGAATGTTTAGATTCCGAATATTTTGGAATTGTAATTGGAATTGGAATTGATTTTGTACTTCCGAATTTTTTGGAAATTTTCCGAAAAGGCTAATTCCGATCCGATCCACCCGACGTTCACCCTTACTCGTACCAATGTAACCCTCTCTATCTTCACGATTTTGACCTTGAAGTTGTTAGCCAAGGTCAGAAAATTACAGGAATAGTGAATTCTTTGTTCAAGTTCTTTTGTTTTCATTCTCAATTCTAAACTTTTGACCTTCAGTTCCTCATTTGCACGTGAAAAATGTTCAATAATTTGCTGAATCTCTTCATTTTTTCTTAAGCTCTAACATCCTTTTGTTGATAATACAACCACAACCCCGAGCTCGTTCACATAAAGGAGGATCGACCCATTTGAAAAAATCACAGTAATTCACTGGATAATTGCAGGATATTTGCATATTCTCTGTGAAAGCATATTGAACCTTAAAAATTTACCATAACAATTGATTCTATTTTCATTAAAATTAGTGGATGAGTTCCCGCTACTCCAGCTTCTTCTCATGTTACTTGAGCCCATACTTTATGACTGTGGTGAACTATTTTCAGCCATGCCTTTGTTGTTGAAGAAAACAACCAAAAATCGCGAAGAAAGCTGCTGGTTTTTTTCTAGGGAAAGTGATTTGAGAATTTGATGGAAGAGGGGAGTGGAAAAACGATGCAAACTATTTAAACCAGGTGAGTGGGCGTTTCAGACCTTGTCCAAACGGCATCGATGTCAAAATCGTGAAAATTGACGGAGAAGGTTGACTTGGGGCAATTGTACAAGTGCCGGGGGATTTGTGGGGGGTGGGGGGGGGGGGGGTGTTGTAAATCGATGCAATTAAGGATATGAGGGGGCAAAGTGATTCGAGGTTAGAGTACAAGGGGAAATGGAAGTTGCCCATTTATATATGTTTTATCCTCAAATTAGTGTAGATATAATGATATTGATAAAATTAAAAAAATATTTCACAAATTAATTATTTTGATCTAAACAATAACATTACATGTACCACAACCTCCAAAATTTAATCAAAATCAAATTAGAAATTATATTGATAGCTACGTATGATAGTGAGTATTAATAAAAAAAATTATAATATAAAAAGTTGCTATAATCCACCCAAAATAAATATTAATTAAATTTTCTGGTGACAATTTTATAAATGTGATAACATACGTTATTCCTTTAAAAAAAATACATTATTTATTTACAGAAAACGAAAATCTCTAAAAGTTTGTTCTAATAAGAAAAAATATTATTTAAAGTTTAGAGTAGGTTAAGTAAGAACTATGTGAGATACTACAAAAAATATTAAAAGTAATTTGTAATATCAAAGATTGCTTACCATTTAACTTAACCTTATATAGTTGTCCGCACTTTATTAGCACCTCAAATTTTAGGACTATTTATTTTATATAATATAATAAGTTGTGGAATTATTTTTTCAATTTTATCTATTTATTTTTATGTGAATGATTTTTTTCTTTATTCTCTTCAAATTACTATAAATTATTGAAATTGACAAATTTAAACGTACCATAAATAAATTATTTGAGCTAAATGGTGACTGAAATATAGTCAAATCTATATATAATATAAAAAGAGGATCTATGCTCTATATGATTGACATGTGGCAAATGATGATGTCATTTGTCAAAATTGCTTAGTTGGAGTTCAATTGATTAGGTGGATTCTTCAATTGATTAGGTGGCATTTTTATTTATGGATGTTTTTTAGTTCTTTCCTATTTTACATTTACACAATCATTTAATAATTACCACATGTATATATATTATTTCCAAAGTTAATATTTTATAAATTCGAAATAAAAAAAATCTTATTTATATTTTCAGTATTTCAAAATATTTTTATTGAAAAAAATTCATGAAACTCAATTTTTTTACGAATATTCAAATAATTTTCATAAAAAAAATGTTTTTTTAAATACTAAAATATTAAAATAAAGGAATATTTTGTTGTTGTAGTTGTTTCATGCATTTAATATTTCATGCATTTAATATCCTATAAATTCGATTTTTTTTTTAATAGTTTAAGTTTTCGAAATATATTTTCCACCTATATTTTTTTAAAATTCAGAAAACTCAATCTTTAATGTATAAATATTCAATTTTTTTATATCATGTATATATTTTCGAATTTTTTAATATTATGTATATATTTTTGATTTTTATTATATTATGTTTATATTTCCGTAATTTTTGTTTTTTTTTTTGTATTTTTTTAGTATTAGATCTTTGAAATATATTATATTTATAGGATTTCACAAACTAATTCGAAATATCATGTTTTTAGGTAATTGTTTGAATTTTTTTCTTTTTAAATCCGATAGTATATATATTATGCTTTAAATATATTGAATTGTAACTAATTTCTAAGAAAAGATAAATCTTCAAATATTAATTTTGGCAAACATATCATAATTTTATTATTTGATTTGATAAATGTGAAGGATTTAATATGGGAAAATAATATATTGAT